CACCTCTTTCCCAGCCCAGCATCCCCTCCTGCACCCATAGCCCCCTACTTCATTCAAACTTCCTCTGAGACCCCAAACTCCCTCCTGTACTCTAGTTCTGTATCCCAAGTTCCCTTCTACACCCCACCAGCTGTCCCAGACCCTGCACCCTCTCCACAGAAGTACAGCCTTTGACCACTTACAGAATCTTGGATTGACCCCTCCCCCATTAAAAATTGTTGCCCATCTCTGGCCAAGATCTTAATTTCACAACAAAACTTTTTTTTCCTTTTAAACCAGTTAATGGCAGCTCTAGCAGCTGTTGGACCACCTAATCCTCGTGCAGACCCAGAATGTTGCAGCATACTGCACGGTTTGGTTGCAGCAGTAGAAACACTCTGCAAAATCACAGAATACCAGCATGAGGCCCGAACCATGCTAATGGAAAATGCAGAACGTGTTGGAAACAGAGGAAGAATAATCTGCATTACAAATGCCAAAAGGTGTGTACAGGATTATACAACATTTCTTTTGGAAATGTATTTTTCTATAAATAGGCTAAAGCCTTTGTCTTCTGATTTTTATTTATTTATTTTTGTTGGGTGGTGTAGTTCAATATTTTTATTTGGATGTATAATACCTTTAATAGTTACTCTTTTGGATACTTTGCAGACAGCTTCTCTCCTAAGCAGAAGGAACTGGTGAGGAGCAGGGACCCAGAAAGTCACCGGCCACATGATCCTCCCACACCCAGGCCAGGGAAGGGCCGGGACAACCCCGCTCTGAACTCAGGATCCCGCCTCTCCTGCCTCTTCCCCCAAAGTTGGTGGACTGGCCCTTTCCCCGCGCTGCCGGACAATGGTGGGGGAAATGGAGCAATGTGGCCCCAGCTTGTTTTGCACCTCCGATCATGTTACTCTTCTTCCCGCCAGTGAGTGCAGGGGCAGTTCTCTCTCCCCTCACTGCCCCCTGAGTGACATGGCTTAAGCAGCAGAATGAGCTGGGGCTGCTTACTTTGCTTCTCCTGCTACTGCCAGTGAGTGCAGGAGGGCTGGACTCCTGCTGCAGGCACGAGGTTTCCCCCAACCCCACTAGTCCTCCTGCCAGCTGCTGACTGGTCCTTTACCTCTCCCACCCACAGTATTGGGGTATGTGTAGATGAGACCTCTGACTCATTCTATGCCTTTTTGCTTACAGACACATCAGTCCACAGATGCGTACAAATTTGCAGATTGTGGCTTATTGTAGGGATGTTAGATATTGTATAATTGCATAGTTGTGTAACCACAGAAAATATTATCAGTTGCACAACTATTCTGTAGTCCGCAGAGGCAGCAGCCTGTGCTCTCCAGCTCCACACTCAGGGAGCTCCCTGCCACCCCATGCTGCTGCCGCCTCCCTATCACAGGCAGCAGCGCAGGGTGGCAGGCGGGAGCCGGTCCGGGAGACCATTTAAAAACCAGCTTTCCTCACGGACTGTCTGCCTACTGTCCCATGTTGCTGATGCAAAGGCAGCAGCACAGGGTGACAGCTGCTCCTGTCTGTGGGAGGTCCAACAGAGGCTGCTTTGTGGCGGTCTCCCCTGCCCTTCCCTCGCTGCTGCTTTTGATAGAGGCAGGAGCACAGGGGAAGAAGGCAGCACTGCAGAGCTGGTGCTGCAGGCAACTGGCTTTTAAGCCAGCTCTCCCCAGCGCAGGCTCCTACCTGCCCCCCTCACTCCCTCTGTAGGAGGCAGCGAGGGTAATCAGGTGGGTCAATGGGAGCCTAAACATGCGGGTATACTGCATCTGAAGCAGCAGCAGGGGTGGGGTGGGGTGGGGCAGGTGGATCTGGTGCCTTGTGGGAAGCCTGCCTAAAGCCAGCTCCTCATGGGCACCAGCTCTCCTGATAAAGAGGCAGCAAGTGGGGAGGGGGTGCATGTAGTTGATAGGATTAACTGATTAGCCTAGTCTTATTGGTTAATTGTTTGACTATATGCTAACATCCCTAGCTTAGTGTATAAAATTTGTAATTGTGTTCAATTGTACTTGCATCTAGGTGAAAAGATAAGGTTTTGTGTATTTAATAAAAATTTTACTTTGACTTTTTTAAATACAGGCAGTCCCCAGGTTACGTACAAGATAGGGACTGTAGGTTTGTACTTAAGTTGAATTTGTACATAAGTCGGAACTGGCGTCCAGATTCAGCCGCTGCTGAAACTGACCAGCGGCTGACTACAGGAAGCCTGAGGCAGAGTTTCTCTGTCCCGGGCTTCCTGGAATCAGCCACTGATCAGTTTCAGTAGCAGCTGACTTGGGGACGCCTGGGGGTCTTAAGGTG